GTGTAATTTTTCCTGTTGTGATTTTTTTCATTCATGTATTTAATAGGCTCTCTTTGGAACAGTAGCTATGATGGTTCCTGATTATGCCATGATTGCAGAGATAGTTCTGTATTCTTGTGGTTTTGTTTCTGCACGACCTCTATCTGTAAAAATCGTGGCTACATACCGTCTATGTTCTGAGCAGTTGTCATCCCAGCACCATTATGATTATGGAATGAGAGCTGTGAAGTCAGTACTTACTGCTGCTGGCAACCTGAAGGTAAATGATTTCTTAGATTTTTATTTGTTTCCCAGAAATTTACTCAGTAGTGCAGCTCTTTCATGATAAAAGGCACACAATTCTGTATAATGGCAAGTACACACTCAGTGATGAACATTAAAATGAAAAGGGTATATTTTAGGCTGCAGACCTGAAAAAAAACCTCAAACCTAAAAGGAGAATTCAAGAAGTTTGTGATCTGATCACCAACTTAAAGGGTTGGCAAGCCCATTAAGTGTGTTGGTTATCTTTCAAGAATTCTAGTTCAGTGCAGATTTAGTGACTTGTATTTGGCATGTTGGCCTCTGTTCTGCGTTATTTTCTTTACACCCTTAGATGCTTTTGCCATAATATGTTAACACCTTCCAATCGCTCACTGGCTAGTCTGCCAAGTGTGACTCCAGTTTCTCTCCACTTCTTAAGAAAAACTGTTTAGGATACAGTATTTTATTTTGATGTGCGTTATGAACGAATGACATCAAAGGCTTCCTTCCTCCTCCCCCTCCCCCCCCAAAAAAAAGAAAAACCAACAAAAAAACCAATGCATTACCAGCAAAAGAAACTGAAGCAAAAAAGTAAATGAGCTGTATATCGTGGCAAAATATGCTTATGGTGAACACATCTCTATGCAAGCTTTTAGACTTTCCATTTTGAAAGCAAAAGGTCTACTCAGAACAGGGAAAATTTGTTCTTTATATGAAGAAAATAAACACATATTAAAAAGCAAGAATTTAATGCTTTAGGAAAAAGTACAGTTTGTAATAATATCTGTAACTGGGTATAAAATAAAGTTCAGTTGGCTTGAATATAGAAAGCTACTGTAATCTCCATGACATCAAGGTATAAAAGTATGTCCAGAATGTATCTTATTGTTTGTGGACCTGAACTTGCCAAAAATAATTACACAGATGCACAACAGGAGCTGTTCAGTCAACTAGGCTGTTTAACATTGGCTTTCCAAAACTAATAACGTAAAGCTATTTAATATCTTTTTTAGCTGAAATATCCATTGGAAGATGAAGAAATTTTGCTGCTTATATCCATTACACGTCAACCTGCCTAAATTCTTGTCTCACCATTCACCACTTCTTGAGGTAAAAAAAAAAAAAATACATATTTTCACTAATGTTAAAAAAACTTGTTAAAAATGCTAATATTATATAACAGATTTATCAGAGTAATAGTCCAAATACTTCAGTTTAGCCCCTAATTATTTTTAAACAGTCTTAGCTGTTCCTTCATAGCAAAGACACTGACCATACGAGTCTACTGTTCATATTTCTGTTAGCTAGTCTTTTGTTATTGAGAAAAGAAAAAGCTTTTTCTGCTTTCTAAAAGCAACTTCTGTAGTTTGACAGAAGCTGATCAATTAGGTAACAAATCCTTTACTCTATACGCACATAAACATGAAAAAGGCTCATGAAATAAATATCAGTAATAAATTAAGTTTTGGCTCAGACAAGGTTATGTGACATTCATAATTATTTTATTTTTATCAAAATAGATATTAGTTTGCCTAAATTTTAAAGGACAAATCATTGATTGCATGAGTTTCAAACCTAATGACAGTAGAAATAAGTATGCTTTTCAATTAACTGTTTGAATAGGGTATTACCTCTGATTTGTTTCCTGGTGTGAAGCTGCCAAAACCAGACTACAATGACCTGTTGGAAGCCATCAAAACAAACTGTGTTGCTATGAATTTGCAAATGACTGATGTATTTACTATGAAGATCCTGCAGATATATGAGATGATGATCGTGCGTCATGGCTTTATGATAGTTGGAGAGCCTTTTGGTGGAAAAACTTGTGCGTATCGAGTTCTGGCAGGAGCACTGGGGGACGTATGCGAGAAGGTATCTATACACATTTCATAAATATTTCTTGTGAAATCTATTTTCAAACAAATTTGAAAAAAATAGAATTGTGTTTGTACAAAATACAGAATTTACCCCAGGGTCCCTAGGCAAGCATAAGGGAAAACTGAACAGAATTTGACTGAGAAGCTTTCCTTTCAAACTTAAGGAAGGTTCATTCCTGAAGTGGTTTTTACTCACCT